TCAACCCCGTTTCGTGGTGTGTCCCTGAGGACATCATCAGGCATAGTCAGATGCCATAACCGGGAGCTCGTAAAGACGACAACTTCCTGTTTGCTCACCAGACGCTCAAGGGACGGCTGTTTATTCGATTTGACTACCATATATGTGGTTTCCTTGACTCGGTCACAAAAGGGATGGAAGGAAACTCCCTAGATTATCACCAGAAGAGGAAAGCATCACAGTGAATGCGATTTTTATATCTTGAAATTTTCGCCTGAAGGTAATTTCATATATGGAAGACTATATTTATCAGAAATAAAGGCAAGATTATATCTTACAAAGATTTGTACAAAAATCATATTTAAATACCGTTATCTAATCATAATAAATCATAACAAATTGTTTCTCTTAAATATTTTGCAATAGGTTGAGTAAATTAGTAAAAAGTTTGAAATCATATTGCTACGAATTTGTTATTTAAATAGTTAATGTTAGTAAAATTATAAATAAAATTGTTTTATTCCTCGTGCAGTGCAGCGAGTGACGAATATTAACATTTAATAAATAAATATCTCATTTTAATTTCTAGAAATTGCTAGAACAAACTCGTGCATGATTTAAGAAGCTTATAAAAAGGAGGAAAACCTGTTAATTCAATTAGTTGTTGTTTTAGGAGTTTGTTTAGAAAACTGCTCTTGTTGACTGTAGCGAATTTGCCGATTACCTTCCTCTAGCTGTTTTGAATTAAGTTCTGTTGAACGTTTGAGTAGTTAAAAGGTAACTATTGTGAGATATTGTAATATTGTACGAATATCTGAGGAAATTTAAGCATTTTGTTTATTGTGATAATAATAAATTTTGCTCATTTTTCAACGGATTTATGCATTCAATTCATAACGAACCCGTACGCACGGAACAATATCTTCGTTATTGCGATGATTTACTAGATTAGAGTTTCATAAACTGTGGGTCGCGACTTGCAGGAAAGGATCGCCAAAAATTTTAGCACTTTTGATATTTCTTTATCGTATTGCAATATACCAAATATTTTTACACAACAGAAAATAGATAAAGATGAGACAATACAGACAAAGAATAAAACGAAAACGTTTCGACGTATTATTTTTATTACGTTCATTTTACTTGTTTTGCACATGAAGCTGCCATGTATTCTGTTACTTATTTAAAATGTTCACATTGTTATATGTGTTAAAATTAGAAATTAAAGTTAATGACCTAAACCTGCAATAGCATATCACAGTACAACTGAAAAAAATGACAGTTTCACTCACGTGTGTGTCGGATTTGTGCAATGCTTATGGGGGTCCCACAAAATTTTCGTAAACATTATGGGGGTCAAAAAATCTCAGTGATAAAAAGGGGTCGCGACTGAGAAAAGTTTAAGAAACCCTGGCACAGATAATTTCTAAGTCTCTTAACTATTACTTTGTCGGACATGAACAGGAAAATTTTAGATAACGTTTTCTATTAGAACCGAGCAAACGTTTTTCTGTATAGCTCTGCATTTTACGAAAACGCTTACAAATAATTTTAATTTAAATTTCAGAAAAATACAAGAAATAACAATTAATGTTTAGATATTAATAGGAATTTATATTATTAATACAGATTTTACATTAAGATGGGAAAAGTAACTTTTAAAATGGGAAAAAGATCTAAGCTATTTTTCAGGAATAATAGCAAAAGGTAATCCTATATTCTCCTTAACAAAATTCTCCAGACTTATTTAATTTAGCACTGCAAAATAACGTAGATTACCTAGAAACTGAAATTACCTAGAAATTTTTAAAGGGTACCTGAAGGAATAACCTTGGATGAACTGCATAAAAAGCTCTCAGATATAAAAAATTATTTTTTTATAGTTGCCTTTTTCAACTCTCATATTGTACGGATTCACAAAACATTTATTTCATGCTCATACAAAACTTAAAAAGACATTTCTTATCTATACTATTAAAATCTGTTTGTTTGTGGCATTATTTCTTCTGAAACAGCAGGAAGTTGAATTTCGAGAGGGGTATCCCGCCAGATGGGAGGCCATTTCAACAATTCTCGTCTTCATATGATTTTAATTAGCAGAGATATTAATTAGAAACACTAATTTTCGCAATCATTTTTCCGAGTTGTTCCTTGGTTCGGCAATAAAAACAATATTTACGAATTGGTTGTTGCTTAGACAGAATGAAGTAATTTCTTTCATACTGAGCTGTTTCACACTGAACTTGTCGGCTAGTTTTTCATAAAATTATGTCTTTTAACTGGACTTGCGTGTAACTCTCAAATATAACAAAATATGTTAGCTACATTTAAAAGGTGAGAATTACATGAGCATACTATGTATCACATGTCAGAATGGTTTTAAATTACCTTAAATTTCAGTTGTGTGAAAATAATTTTGATTTAATCATCTGGTAGCTTCAGTTTCGGTTTATTTGATTACGGTAAAGCAGGCTATGAGGGAACCTTTTAAATAAGTTATCGCTTAATGTTAAAAACAAATTTGTTCTTTTTTTTTCTTTTTTTGATGACATTTAATCTTTCATGCAATTTTATTAATAAAAGTTTTGAAACTTAGTTTTTTCTTGCTGTACGTACTATTTTTTTTTTTTTTTTTTTTTTTTTGTTGAATGGAAATTCATTTTTAACAGGATGCCAAAAGTGAAATACTTTGATGGTGACGACTTGCATAGTACGCCAACTTCTGCAAATTTTTACAATAAGATAGTAGTACTGATAATCACTGTTAGTTATGTTTCCTTAAGAAGAGTACCTCCACTGGAAAACTGGATTGTCTAGAATAGTATGTGCTTTTTTAGGAGCATTTAATTGTACGGATTATAGTTTTGTGAATCCGTAGCTGTGTATTTACACAACAATCCATAATCAATCAGTTATTCTGGTTCAAGAATTAATTTTTAGAAAGTGGGCTCTGAATGTAAAATACTACTGATACTGTATAACTGATAAATTAATAAAATTAATTTTCTTCTAATGACATCATTCTTGTTTGTAAATCTCATGTTAAACTGTACACTACCACATCATAACTTAACAACAAATTCTTTTATGTACTTTATATGCAAAAACGTTCCGTTACATGTTTGCTAACGCTTGCTATTTGCTCAAAACATTTGAAAGAACATCACAAAGACTTCAAATGTTCTGATTTCGTGCATTCTTATTTCTTTAGCGTACATCCTTTTTGCAGTCTGTGTTTATCTGCATGTGACTAATAACTAATACTCTACAAGCATAGTGTATCTGATCCCGCATTGCGTATCTATTTTTATTGTGTACCTATCTATAAGCATCGTGTATATAATATAAGCACCACGTAACTATACAAAGTATATAAGCATTGTGTATATTGCTGGTACAAGTACAAAGCAATCTACTGATATTCTACAGTGTGCCTGCGTGTTTTATGTATGTTTTATATATCGCATTTGACATGTGATCTATATGTGTCTTTAAATGTGTAAGTGTATAATATATATTAGCTTAATTATGTTTCACTATAAGTAATTTATATTATTATTTAATATCTATTTAATATTATTTAATATCTAATTTATATTATTCTATAATGTGTTAACATGTTTTATATGTGTTATATATGTACTCTTATATGTGTTTTACACGTGTTTTGTATGTGTCTTTATATCTGTTAGTGTATGTGTTTGTATATGCTGTAATTTGTGTCTAACAAACCAAGATGTAACAAAATCATTTGCCTATCGATCAAAACTAATGTATTCTTAAAAGCCCCCTCTGTATGGCCATGCACAATTACGTAAAATTCTTCAATAAAGTCCCGAGGTGGCCTCACGAGGCTCCAGGGAGTTGCTGCCACTAGATAGGGTAGGACGCGGGACATACGCCTCTTTAACTATGTTAAACACCAAGCGTCCCCGTCCTCCGTCACCTGTACATTCCCTTTAGTGTGACCAGGATGGTTATTATTTTGAATAGTCTCATTACATTACATCTCTCATTGTTTCTTGAAACTTCCCAATATATTTCGCATCAGAAGGATTCAATAAGGCTACTTGGAAAATAAATATTGGCTGGATTTTCACAATATAAGAACTACTATTTTTCGCGAAAATGTCTTTTAATGCCCGGGAATCATAGGTCACATTTTATTTAGTTTTAGATAAAATTGATCAATAACAAGGAGTTTTTTGGGGGTCAACATGTCTTGTATTAAAAACCTTCATTCTAATTCTGTATTTTTATGCTAGGTTAGCCAAAGAAATCAACTTAATACTTCGAATATTTTACATAATTTTTTCTCTTTTTATACCCTCACTGTAGTATCATTATCATGTAAAGCTTAGATATATAGTATTCTAACTGCACGACAATAGTATTATAGTTTTGACTTCTCAAATATGGCAGAATCAACGTCAAATAAGTACAGTGGCAGATTAAAGCTTCCTGTATAGCTACTACGGTATAAAATTTTATTGTTTGTATTGAAATATTAAATAGGAAAACTTTGATTCTAGAATTAATTTAGTGTTAAATATCTGGTCTGTTTTGAGATAGGCTACTTTTTGAGGATGTGATCATATTTGTGATCCAAGAATTACATTTCTGTAATAACACTTTAATTATGATTCTTAGCTTCAAACAGCTTTGTAAAAGAATAATTTGTGTTTCCATATTTCAATGATTTGAGCTTTAACAACATTACAGCTGTAGCAAATTTAATTTGAAAAAGAAAGGCTTTGTATTGTTTTCTAAAGCGAAAATGAACAAAAAATCGAGTTTTGATGTCCACAATTTGGAAACATGTTACTTTAAATCTACAAAAGTCATATAGAATTAAAAATAAAATTGTAAAATTCTTTTTTGATGCACAGATTATTCTAAGGTTTTTGTTTTTCTCTATGAATATGAATGTCATATTTTATTACATTTCCAAAATTCTAGCAAGCCTTTCATTCTTACTCTTTCAATCGGGTATACGAAGTAAAGAATCAAAATGAAATTACCTTTCTCTCACTCTCTGAAGTCTCAATATTAAATTTGCCCCTGCCGGTGCGATTGTTACCTTGAAAATCTTCTTCTTCGTTCTCTTCAATTGAATTACATATATTGGAAGAAAATAGTCAGGTTTATATCAAGAATATTTTACGTTCCCTGAAGACAACAAATAGGAACGTCGACGCTGATTTAGCGTTTCTGTTGTTACACAGTCTTCTTCTTGCCCAGTATCCGTATTTATTTATGTTTGAAGCCATTACGCAGGTTATTTATCATGACTCTCTTGGCTTTTGACAATAGCAGTCCCCCTTGTGCACGTTTACTTTGTCATGCGCAGGATGATGGACTCATAATCGGAAATGGTGGAATCTAGGAGAAAGATTGAACGAAAAGTAAAGTAAAAAGCAACAAAATAGAATTCAGAATGGGAATGAGGTATAGGAATGAGTTTGTATAAAAAGAAATTGTCTGCTGGGCCTAGTGCTCATTGTTTTGATTTATATAGCTGTCTTGGAATTTAGAAATTCTGCTATAACAACAACAAAGAATGGAGTTATATTCGAAGCCATTTTGGAAAACTCTTTCTAAAAATGGTACGTGTCTGGTTCTGTTGGCTTAAGAGAAAGTGAAATAAATGTTTCAAAAATATGAAATTCTTCAGACGTCATTCCTTTTTAATCGAATTTGCCTTTTTTCTCATCAACTCAGGGATTTATTTTATTCCTTTAATAAAATAAATAACATAGCAAGCAGTCTTTGGTCTCAACAGAATATGGCATTACTTCTGTGATTATTTTCTGTTCGTTTTTACTTTTGCAATAATCACATTTTTCAGATAATAAATAACAGTTAATGGCATCGCTTTAGCGGTTAAGTACGCAAACGGATCATGTGATTTGAAAATTAGAAGAAAATAGCTTCTTTATTGAAGAATGGTTCATCAGATGCAGAATTTTCAAAACGGTGCTAAAATCTCAAAAACTGCTCATCAGAAAATTTCTGCTACGCTACGTTGAGCCCATCTCTTAAGTAAAGCAAAGAAAAGACTTGGGAGTGATTGCTAATGATTGACTAACACGAAATGACCATGTTAAATGTATCAAAAATAAATCAAGTAGAATTATCCAGAAATTTGTTTCACCCCTAAAAGTTTCACGTTGCTTTTTCCAAAAGTTCTCTTCGTTTCTCTATAGTTGAGCGGATGAAAGGCACTCACGAAAATGTGAACTGTACCGCTTGGTACACAACATAATCTGATTTAGCGTTTCTGTTGTTACACAGTCTTCTTGCCCAGTATCCGTATTTATTTATGTTTGAAGCCATTACGCAGGTTATTTATTTATCATGACTCTCTTGGCACTGTATGGGCTGTAGCAGTCCCCATACAGTGCCTCAGAGACAGATCAATACAATGAAGGTCCAAGTGTAAATGTTTGCGAACACACATTTCAGCGGACGCTGTTTTTGGATATGGAATGCGCAGCAAACGTCCCCCCTCGTGTGCCTCTATTGACCAAGTGTAATTGTCAACTTCGTCAACAGTGGGCTCGGGAACATCGAAAATGGACCATGGACAAGTGGAAGACAGTTGCCCAGTCCGATGAATCACGGTTTCTCATTCATCACGCGGATGGTTGTGTCAGGCTACGCCGTCTTCCTGGCGAACAGTTGCTCCCCCTGTACAGCAGCTCAAACACAGGCTGGTGGTGGCCGTATTATACTTTGGGGGACGTCTCATGGGCATTTCTGGTACCCTTAGTTGGGTAGAATGGGCCATGAAAGCTCCAGATTTTAAATATGATTCCGCATAAGTTGCCCCATTACATGACGTCTGTTTTACCAAATGGAAATGGAATCCTCCCGGAGAACAATGTGCCATGTCACAATGCACGAATCGTGTTGGAGTGGTTCGAGGAGCATAGGATGAATTCCAGTTACTGTCCTGGCCTCTTAACTCGCCGGATCTTAACCCTATCGGGTGTCATGGTGCGACAGCTCAGAGTTCAAACGCCACCATGGCGAAACATCGCGTGATCGTAGCTTAGACATTTAGTACAACCGGTCTCCATTCCTCTACCAAGAACTTATGGCATCCATGCCAAGGCGAGCTGTTGCTGTTTTGCAGGCTAAAAATCATGCGACGCGTTATTCAATAGGTGGTCATAATGTTTTGGTTCTTCAGTGTATATCTCTATTATGAAGGAATTCTATGCCATACAAAAGAGAGAAATCTAAACTGAAAACTGAAAATTATAAAAACGGCAACTGTATTAAAATCTTAGCTATATACGGATCCTCTACGGAAATTCGCCTGTAAAACAAAACGATACTTTTTACTGTCATATATATTTCACTGCCTTAAACATTTAAGTAATATAAAGAACGCGGTTTCATCCTACAAGTTACATCGAAGCTATTTTCTCCTTCCTTCAGTTACTTGTCTAGTTATAAGTATGTTTTTTCAGTATACGTAAGGAAAAGAAGCAACATTTTAAACCTCGTGTATTTTTGTAGGTTTTCTTTTAATATTTAATTAACTACTTAAAGCTAATTTTAATACTTCCCAGTGTAAAAGGTTAATAGTTTTATCATTGATATTTTCAAGATTGTTCCATGCTATATTATTGACTCTTGACTAATTATCAGTATTTTATTCTGATTTCAATATTTCATGTAAGATAAAAATACTGATAAGTTCATGTAAGCTAGTTAGCATACTGATATTCATGATTCATCAGAAAACACAGTACCGTAGCAAATTGTTCCAGAATAATATACCTTACATTTAGCTATAGCCAAAGAAATAAAGCTATGTCCTGTTTAGTACAAATAACTAGGTAACTGTGCAATGTATTTTCTTCCTTCTTATCGCGTTCATTTGTGGTGTAATTAGAAGCTTACGCGCTCGTAGAAATTAGAAGGTCAGAGGTTCGAACCCTAACTATGCATTATTCGTTCTTAGAGTTTCCTGGCTTCACTTTAATTTCAAGTTGTTCTGCAGCGGCGCCCGAACTAAAAGGTGGTGGACAAAGATTATCACCACCAAAATTTGACGACTGGGTTTCGTCCCCCTAGCCAGCCATAAATGAGAGATAATTTAAGGTGTTTTCTCCCTCTTTACCGAGTGTAACTGATGAAGAGTGTAATTGGAAAGCACGTCGGGCTAACAGTCGGAAGGTTCGGAATTTGAATTTTGGCATTGCTCATTTTTCATGCATCGTGCTTTGAGGAACATATTAGATTCTACATATAAATTCTGCACTTTATAGCAAAATATTACAGTACGAATGAAAAATTTGGATTATCAAGTTAGCTGTCTTACTGATGATTTGGCAACTACGTTAAAGAGGTTGTTATTGTTATTCATAAACTTTTGCGCCTGGATGTAGAATTATCCGAGTGAGTTAGACAAGAAGTCTCGACACTAACAATAAAACTCCCACTTCCTTTCAAACAAATCTCGGAGAGTGTGTAATAAATCTTATTTTTAAGGTAGGAAAATAAATCTGAGCAAAACATGGCCCATCGAAATGTAGGCAAATATTAAAATGGAAAATTTCATTTCTCCTCTTTTAATCACAGCGAACCAACTCTTGACGAAAAATTAAATGCGTGAAAATTTAATCCAGTCTTCGAGCGCGAGAGGGAAACTCTTGAAACAACAAATTCCGGCATCTTCGTTTCACATTCAACCATTGGGGAAAGCGAGGGCAAAAGCAGACCCGAAAGTAAAACAACGTTAAACAAACACTGGGCAACTAACGGTGTCTGCATTAATTCGGATCTCTATAATATATAGCAAGACGGCTTGAGTATTAAATTAATTTAGCGTAACGTTGAAGCAATGATGGGTGACAAGGAGAAATCCAGACCCCAGGGAGAGGACATGTTGACATAGGGTGGTTTTAATTTTACGGACCGTTAGGTTTTCTCACTTGGGGAGGAGTTGGTCTGGAAAGGGGGTGCGGAGGGAAGATTTTTATGCAGTGTTCTCAGTTCGTCGCTCGGTAGAATAGGGAATTTCTGGGAAATTTCACAGAGAGTTGGGGAAAAGGTCGTGCACGAGGGTTTAATCATGCTTGCTTGCTATATTATGTACGGATGTTTGACATCGGGGTTTTTAAATTTGAACAAGTGCCTAGATTACGTAAAGTTTGATTGATTCTGGGAGAAACTAACGCCAGCGGTTGCTACTCCAATGTTTCTCTGAACGGGAGTTTACTATGAAGAGCAGATTAAGAGACAGATCGGTCATGCATTTAACATTAAACCTCCTTAAACAGAAATTAAGAATTTTATGAATAAGTTGATGTAATTCAGGCAGCCAAGGAATTGTTTCCTGTAACATAAAACTGATAGTCTCAAACGTAATAAAAGAAGGTCCGTAACGAGAAACAATCCGAGATACATAAATTTACAATCACCTTCAGTATTTTCCGCCGTATTTTAGATAATTCTTATTCTCTGAAAGAAAAAAATGCAATATTTTTGTTTCTAATAAAAGAGAAATGTACCTGTAGATTTTGATCATAGCCTCGGAATAAGAAAACAATTTCCTATAAATTTCATAAATGAAATACATTTTTCCCTTTTAAATTTCTTTCACTAATGGAATTCAAAGCAAGCAAAATTCAATCTTAGATTGACATTCGTTTTATGCAGAAAAACTTTATTTAGTTCTTTTCTGTGACAGGAATTTTCTGTAAAAATTAATGTCAAATTAAAGTCACTTTTAATAACGGAAAGAAACGTAAATTTACACATCAGAAGAGGTATAAGTATAAAATCGACACATCAGCATAAATTTACACTCGCTGTAAAGGTTTAATAACTTAAAGTTAAATAAAGAACACGCGTTCTATCAAAGACGGGCTACCGCTTTAGCGGGGAAGAAATCATGAACTGACTTTAATATAATTAACAGATATTTAAATCATAATAAAATTTTAAAATGCTTTATTAAATTTGTTTTGTTTTTGGCATTTTGACATTTTATGGATAAAATGTTTTACACACACACATATATATAGTCCATAATTTGGTTGCTAATTAGTTTATCCCAGTTGGAATATAAATTCAGAAATTACTTCTCTTTCAGAAAAAAACTTATTTTTGTATCAAATTAAGATGCTTACAAATAACAAATAAATGTCATATTAAAAGCACAAGGAAAAGAGGGAACACTGTAGATGCGTAATTAGACCCATATTGAAGAAGATTTTGATTGTGTAGTATGCTAGTAATGCTAACTTGGTAATATCTAAAGAACTTGGCAGTCGAGGCAGTTTTAATTCCATTTTTATTTGCAACTGATATTTGTGGCCACAATCACTTGGCACTCTAGTCGTGCCTTTCCACAGAAGATTTAC